CCTTGGCCTCCCAAAGTGCTAAGATTACAGGCATGAGCCACTGTGCCCAGCCTTGGCTTGCTTTTTTCTTATCTGGGCTAGTTTCTCTTTGTCCAGTTTCCTTATGATGAAAAGAACCTGTCCGCTTGTCTTCAAGCTAGCTGAGCAAACATTTATAGGTACCTGCTGTATAGAAAGTGAACATGGAGCCCTTGCCCTCAAGTGGAGAAAATGGCAACACATACCAAATAATAAAATAGTTCTTCCTGCAAACTGCCAGGAAGTCACCTGTTGACTCTAGAACAGCGTTTCTCAACTGTATTAAAGGGTCTCAGCATTAGGAAGGTTGAGAACCATTGCTCTAGAGCAAACATACAGCAAAATAAGGAAAATCACTTTCTAATGTTTGTTAGCCTTGGAAAGGTAGACAGGTTCTCCTTTACTAGAAAACCAGCATCATAACCACAGCCACAAACCTAACAGTCAACTTACACCTGCACACAATAGAGGTGGTTCTCAACAACCTTTAATGTCAATTCAGGAGGCCCACAGCACATCTGTTTCGCTACTGAGCCTGTACATAATGGGCACAGTCACCAAAGAAAGACCATGGCCAGGCCACCAGCACCCCTGCCCAGAGGGGTGCATGCTCAGGTGCAGCCAGCCCAGGTGGTGCCAGCTCTACCTTCCAGCTGTGTTCATTCCAGGCTCAGGGTGGCAGCGCCAAGCAGCCCCTGGTGAACACTTCCCCAGCAGGGCCTGGAAGAGAGCTACCTGCCGCTTGGCACAGTGACCAAGAGGGCACCCACTGGATAGAGCTCAGAAGCTGGGCAGACCTCTAGGTACAGTGGTCAGGTTGTCACCCTAGGGCAAGAGGAGAGCTGGGAGGGGCTCCAGGTCTCCCAAGGGCAGAACGTTATCAAGAGAATCTTGCAATTTTGACTGAGTCCAGAAGAGGAATTCCTACTGGGTAGAGACGGAAAGCGCCCCAAGGAAAGGGTGACATAGAGACAGGTCTTTCCGATGACATTTTGCCCTCCCCTGAGTCGTGCCCCAGCGGCTGCCACGCTGGGCAGTGCCAGGCTCTGGAGCCCCCTGAGCCTTGCGTGGGCCCCCAGCACACCAGTCCTCATATGAGACTCCGCAGCCCAGCCCTTACGCCCCCTCCCCCAGCACGGCAACGCCGCAATCAGCCGTCACACCCCCCACTCGACCCTTGCTCACCCACCTCGCGGTGCCGCCGGCTCCTCAGCTCGCCGCACGACGGCGGCGGCTTCACTGCGCACGCGCGCACGCGGCCCCGCCCCCGCCGAGCACGCGCCGCCCGCTGCCCACCCCGGAGCGCTCGCGGGTCCCGGCCCAGCCTGGCTCTGGGCATGCGCACTGACGCCGGTGGCGGCTGCATACGCCAGTAGAGGGCTGGGGGCTTGTGAGAGGTACCGGGAGTCGAGCCAAGCACGGTGGGGGCTGCGGGCAGCAAGAGCCCGGACAGCTGCCCGCCGGGTCACGCGTGAACCTAGGCTCGCATGGGCACAACGTCCAGTTCTGAGCCGGCGGATTAGGGGCGCAGGGGAGCGTAAGGCCTAGATACGCCACGGAAAGAGACGGACGGACGGAGACCAGAGAAAGGGACACGGACATCGAACCGCAGAGACAAAGGCCGGGACTGACGTAGGGGCCAGAGACTGCACTACGATGGACAGGGGCGGCCGTTCTCGTGGGGAGGAGCGATAGCGCCCTCTGCGGGTCCTGGCAGGAAGCGGGGAAGTCACTGTCCGGGCAGTAGACTTGGTTCCCCGAGGCCCATGGGGGGGTCGGTCGTCTATGGAGGCCACCATGCCTTTTGGGGAAGTCAGAGCGTTCGCGGGTGGATCACTGCAGCGGGGGGCAGGGTATGAATCATAGTGGCCCTTAGGATGGTTTCTGACCCCAGAAAGGTCCTGGCATCACAGGGGCGTTCACAACCTGGGGGTATCACAGTGGCCCTTGGAGAGGACAGGCAGCGTAAGGATGGGGAGACAGAGGAACCCTGGGGGTGACAGCTGCCCAAGAAGCCTCCAAGCAACTCTCTGGGATTATTCCACGCTTCCATGTCGGGGGCAGGTGTCGCAGTGTCGGTTACACCCCCTGGGGACTTAGGCGTGAGGCACTGAGGGAGGCGTCGGCAGGGACCGGAGGGGGGCCCAGATGGCGGCACGCGTGAAGCGACGAAAGATTCTCTGCAAGCGAAGGCATTGGAGGAACGTGCGCCTGGTTGTGGGCGCAGCGTTCCACCCACTTCCCCGCCCCGCCCGCGGGCTCAGGCTGCTCCGCAACGTCCCCGCCGCTCGCGCCGCTGCAGCCTACGCAGGCGTCGCGTCCACGCGTCCCTCCAGGGCAGCACCAGGCTTCCGCGGGACGCGCTGAGCCCAGGTCCCCGGCCTCCTGAGCCCCCAACAGCAGCTCCCGGTCCGTCCCCCAGCAACAGGTAGCGGCGGCCGGGTAATATGCGTGGACAGCCGCAGGCCGCATCCTGTGTTGGCACCCACAGCGCGCTGCTCCCGCGCCGCGCGCGCTCCTCCCCGCTCCGGAACACAGCCAGCACTGCCACCGGGAAGCGCGTCCACGCGCCTCGTGCCTCTCCACGTGCTCCCACCACCACCTGCACCGCTGTGGGGAGGGTGAGAAGGCACGGGATGAGGAGGGCAGGGCCAGAAGGGGACGGGCACAGGGCGTCCACCATGTGTGGGGAGGACACTGGGGCCAGAGAGGAAGGGCCGGCAACAGTGGGGGACCTGAGAGATGGGGATGGGCCTTGGGGAGTGAGCGTCAAAATTTACTAAGGGGAAGTTGGCAGAGGAGGGGCAAAAAGGGAGGAGGAAGAGGAGAAGGTGAAAGCAAAGAAGCCTTAAAACCTACCATAGTCCTTCCTGCAGAACTTCTTCAGGCTGATGCGGTAGCTGCCACGGGGAGGTCTGCAGTGCGAGTCACAGTCTGGGGAGGTGGGTGGGAGGCTGACACAAAATCCCACTGTCTCCCCCAACCTATAGACCTCCCCATGGTCCAACCAGACTCAGGAGCCCTGTTCCCTGTCCACTTACCCTGGGGCTCCACGGGACTGCTCTCCTCAGTGGGTCCAGGAATGGGCGTCTCTGTGGAGAGGGTGGGAGAATGGCCAGCCATGGAGGGGCAGGGGAGTCTGCAGGGCTCCAGGGACAGACAGGGAGCTGGGGTTGCTGTGGCAGGGCAGGGTCACTCACTAACACAAGGTGCCACTGGTGAGCGGCTCTGCTGGAAGCCAGGGGCACAGCGGTTGCAGGTGAGGCCAGTGACCCCGTCCTTGCAGGGACATTGTCCTGTGGTCTGGTTGCAGGTTTTGCCAGCAGCACCCACAGGGTGACAGTCGCAGGCTGAAGGCAGAGGTGGGAAGGGCCTGATCAGAACTCTATCTGGGGCTCTGGGAAACTAGGGAATGAGAGCATGCAAGTGGCTGGAGGCAGGCTTACCCCTGCAAGCACGACGGTCACTCAGGGCACGGCCAGGGTCTCGATAGAAGCCTTCCCGGCAGTAGTGGCAGTGGCGGCCAGCAGTGTTGTGCCGGCAGTTGAGGCAGACTCCCCCACTGCGGCGGCCCGATAGTCGGTACAACTCCATGTTGAAGCGGCATCGACGGGCATGGCTGTTGCAGGAGCAAGCTGCAGGGAGGGATGGGTCAGGGGCAGGCTGACCAGGTCCAAGATCCCCAGGCCACCCTCCAAGGCCTCACCAAGACAGGCGTGGGATTCCCGGGCTGTGGCCCGCTGCCACGGCCTGTCGCAGTAGAAGGGCTTGCAGCGGCTGCAGTCAGGGCCCTCAGTGCCATGCTGGCAGTCGCAGATCAGGTGGCCTTGGGTGTCCAGCAGGCACTGTGAGGCATGCCCATTACACTTGCAGCGACCGCCCACCTGGAGCTCCGTGGCTGAATAGGAGTATGGGACTGCGGTGTCTCTCAGAATGGCAGGCCGTGTGAGCACGACACGGATATCTGTGGCAGTCACCCAGTCCTGGAGTACTGGGCTGCTGTCCAGATCCAGGCCTGCTGGGCTGCCGTCCTGCACACTGAAGGCCAGAAGGCCACCACCATCAGGCTGGGCTTGGGGTGCAGGGAAGCACAGGGCCTCAGGCCCTGGGCCAGCTGGGCCATCCGCAGGAGCAGGCAGGCGGCCATAATCCAGGGCACAGTGGGAGGAGAAGAAGCCAAGTGGGGCCCAGCTGCGGCCATGGTCCTGTGACTTAAGCAGGGCCACAGAAGCTGGGGGAGCTGAGCAGAAGCGCAGACTCAGGAAGACCAGCTCAAAAGCCTTGCCAAGAGCCACTGTTAGGGTCACATTGAGGGGAGCATGAGGCAGCAAGTCTGAGCGCCAACACAGAGGGCTTGCCTTGCCCTCTGCAGAGGTCAGGAGGGCGGCAGGGTGTGCCCGCCGGGGGTCCGAGGCATCACAGGCCCAAGTAGCTGGCCTCCCGCACGTGCTGGACGCCAGCACCTGGCGGCCCAGGGCCGCGTTCACCAGGCCTGGCACGCAGCTCCGGGGTGCGCCCCCCTCATCATGGCAAGGGTCAGAGGGCGCCGGCGGGCCAGGGCTCAGTGCAGCCGACAATGCGCCTGCGGTCAGCAGCAGCCGCCAGGGCCAGTAGTGCATCGCGGGGTGTGGGGGCCCAAGATGTTGCCCTCGGGGAGGAAGAGCTCCGTCCCAGGCTCTGCCTGCTCCCTGCAATGCCAACCCAAAGGTGGGAGCAGCGGCGGCGCGCCCCGGGGCCGAGCGCAGCAGCTGGATGTTGGCGCGTCCTCCTGCTGGGCCTGGAGAGTTGACAGGCGTCGCCCCACTCCCCGGTGCCTCCGCCCTACGGAGTCCCCACCCGCTGCCCGCCGAGGCTAGCACTCACCCACCGAGGGCCGGGCGGAGCAGGTATCCCGGCCTCCCGGGAAGGGCTGTAAGCGGGCGGGGCCGGGGGTGCCGGGGCCGCCGCCTCCTCCCAGCTGTAGAGAGGACAGACGTGCTATACCGGGAGGAGGTGGGGGGCGCAGCAGGCGCAAGCCGGGGCCCAGCCGGGGGCGGGGCTGCTCAGCCGGGAAGGAGGGGAGGGGAGGGGGCCTCGTCTGCAGAGCTGGAATCAGAAGCAGATTCAGACATAGGCTGGGCCAGTGGGGGAGGGGGCTGGGAGCCGGAGGAGGGGCCAGGGAGCCAGGAATGCGCGGGCGGGAGGGGTCTGGAGTGGGCACCTCAGCCCCACAGCTTGTGGGGGACCACCCAGCAGGGTCCCCAGCCCACAGCCAGGCCTACACTGCTCCTGGGGTTGTGCCACGTGGTGGATGGGGGTCTGGGCTACCTCCTCCCTGAGGCCCATCAGGTGGGCTTGCCCTGGGTCTGATGGCAGAGGCCCTCCCTGGCTGTTCCCCTGATTGAGGAGGGGAGGAAATGGGGAGAGGAGGGTGGAAGTGGGTTACTGAGGCATCCCCAAAGCAACAGTCTGCTCTAGTAGAACTCAGGATTGGGGTCAGGTCTGATTTTGAATCCAAATTGCTCCAATTTGGCTGTGTGGTTTGGGTTCCATAGTTTCCTCATCAGCCAGATGCTTGAGACTCTGTACTTTCGGAGGTTTTGAGAGTATATGATGAGTTGGCACAGGTATCAGCCCTAAGTCAGGAGCTCAGCAGGCTGCAGTCTTCCCTTCCTTGTGTGGAGGAAGGACTTCACCCCAAGCAGGCCTGAGCTCAGCTAAGGGTACAACTAGCATCCCCCGCTGGGTTGGGCCAGCCTTTTATCCCAACATATCCTGGGTCTCTGAGTGTCCAGTTGCCTCATTATGATGGGCTAGGTGTTGGTGCTGGCAGGGAGGAAAGGAGAGCTGGGGTGGGGAATGGCAATATGATCCATTAGAAGGTCCAGTGGCATTTAGGAGTATGGTTAACTGTTGAGGACCCCTCTGGAGGAGCAAAGAGTGGGGTTTAATCCATGGAGAGGGGCTGCTCACAAATGGCTCAGTGTCAGAATCCCTGAGCCTGTTGGCTAGCATCTCAGCAGGTTTGGGCCGGGAAACTCAGGCAGCAGCTCAGCTGGGTGGCCTGGGTATTAACTGGGGAAGGGGTAGCTACTGCTGGAACTGACCCCAGGAAAGAGGGCCAGGGATTGCTCTCTTTCCCTGCTCCCTTTAGGTCCTCTACAGAGGGGGCTAAGCACTTCAAGGGAGGACTAGGGGCAGCCTGGAGGTCTGAACATCCACACACCAACCTCAGGCCAGCCCCTGCAGCCCATGGAGGGGGCTTTAGGTGTGTGTCTGTGTAGGCAGAGCTGGTACCCTGGACAAGAGATGTCAGGACCAACAGGGAGCAGAAACATTGTACTGCTTGGCCAAGGAGGGACAGGAGGATCCTGGGGCCTTACAGGGGGGCCAAAGAAGAGAAGGGAACAGGAGGGCCTGACCTTGGAGGAGCACCTGGCTTGGCTCCTAGAGGAACTGCCACCCACTGGTAGGCCTTTCCCAGGCCCAACAGTCACAGGTGCAAGATGGTGGTGGAAGGACCAAGTGAGCAGAGGGCAGAGGGGCTGCTGGCCTTTCTCTTACCCTCAGGTAGCCCCTGCTCCCCGGTGCTGCATGGCCAGACTCTTAACTTTTCCAGAGCCTGGAAGAGCCCAAGAACATGTTCTTTACAACATGAGTGAAGGACCTGGCAGGTCCTCATGCTGTACTAGGGTTTGGGTTACATTCAGAACCAGCACTTTCCCAACCGCCTTATTCAAGGTCCTTCTGGCCCCAGAGAAATGCCCAGTCCTGACACAGGGGTCCCACTGAGCCTGAGTAAACCTCTAGGGAAGCCCAGGGCATCTCTAGACTTCAGGACCCATGCTAGATTCACCAGGCTGCGGGAGGGAGTAGGCTGTAGGCCTGGCTTTCTCTACAGCCCAGCTTCCCTGTGAGCTGGAGCTGGAGTCTGCAGGAAGTCTGGTGGCATCTTGTGGGGGTGGTAGTAGGTGCTGGGGCTCAGCTCTGCTGCCAGTGTTCATCTGGGTCAGCAGGGGGTTTGGTCCAGCCCTGAGGGCCATTGTATCACCAGCTCCCCAGGGAAGAGGTTGCTGGCTGCACTGCCCCTACAGCTTAATCCTCTGCCCTCCCCCTTTGCAGATGGTATGATGGGAGTTAGGGAGGGCCTTCCCCAGAGACCCCAGACAAGGCTGATGGCTCTCAGTGGGCCCAGCCACCTGTCCCAGCCCTTGACTGAGGCCTCTAGTACTTCCCACCTCTCCACTGGCCTTGCCCCCTCCCAGCACCTTCCGGGAAGAAGCTCCGCCTCTCCTTCCTCAACTTGCACCTCAGGCTGCTGAACCCCCATACCCCACCCCAGCAGCTAGTCGGGTTTGGGAGCACAGCTTCGGAGAGGGGATGGAGAGGCTTGACAGCTCCCAGTCTTTCCCTAAAAGAGGCCCATTGATCAAGTTATTCCTGGCCCAGCCCAGGACCTATGCCCCTTCCTGATGTTTGCAAGCCGCCACTTGTTCACGTATTGCACAAACGTTTATTGAGCGCCTATTATGCGTAAAGGCACAGAAGGCAGACAGCCCTAGTGGACAGCGGTCACGCTGGGGCCGTGTCCGTCGCGGCCCCACAGCCTGCACGTCTGGCCCTGGTACAGTGCAGGTACCCGCCCGTCACGATCTGAGATTGCGACCAGTTTTGCACGCCAAGCGAAGCGCGGAAAAGCGACGTTGGGCGGAGGGTGGCCGAAGGAGAAAAGCAGAGGGGGAGGGAAGGGAAATAGCCCGTAGCCTCCTCTGTCCAAAGGGTTGGGTAAGAAACGGTGTGGTAGGTAGTTGCTGAGACGGCGATGGGTGGGGGCCTCGCGCACTGGTTCAGGGCGTCTTCTGCTCCCTTAGTCCCCAGCGCCCGGCTTTGCGCCGGCGTCGTTGCCGAGCGCGCCAGCATAGGAAAGCGGCGGTCAGAAGCCCGAGGCCCGCGCGGAGCGCGGTCAGCGACGCGTCCTGGGCCAGATCTAGGCGGGGTCCGCGTAGTGAGAAGGTGATGGCCATGGCAGATGCACCGGCCAGCACAGCCACGGCACAAAATGGCAGGACACAGGGCGGCTATGAGCCCCCGCGCCACCAATGGCCAAGAGCAGCGCGTGCAGGACCTTGGGAGACTCCGGATGCACAAGTTCCTGCGGGGCGGGCGCGGGGAGCAAGACCGGCGCAGCAGGTGGATGATCGGGCAAGCTCAGGCCCAGCCAAAGTGGCTGCGCTCTGGGGTGGTGTGGGCGCGGAGCAGTCCACCCGCTCACGTCCAGACCCACCACATCAAAGTTGATTGGCCCTAGGTGGCGCCTGTGGCTTAAAGGAGTTGGGCGCCGGCCCCATATGCCGGAGGTGGTGGGTTCAAACCC